GCTAAATTTCGAAGGATGTGCCATTCATTGTTGGAAAAATTAGTACTATATGTCCCCTTGTTTTTTGTAAATGTGTGACATGATTCCTCACATACTGTTTTTTCAAAAACTCTAAGCCCTATATGGTCAGTAGTAGGAAAAAACAACAACAAAGCACCCCCGATAGATGGCCATTCAGCCTTGTTATTAATACTATTATTAATAATGATAGATTTGGAAGGGAGCTCATTTAGTCCAACCCCCTGCTCTCTTCATTCAGCACACGCAAATTCAAGGTACAGCACCTCCTGGTCCCGGAAGTCAGGCAGGCAGGCCATTGCAAGAAGAGGTCAGCGCAGGCCTCCGTAGCATACCACAATATTCGCAGTATGTATCACTATATTGTACTCTTCCACTATACCAGAACGTTATTAGTAATTTGACATGAAATATATAATATATAACTAATACTCTGATTATTCAATATTTTTCAGAATTCTTCCTTAATTAAAGGGCTAGATTCCTGGCAATATTTTTTTAATATATCCAAACTACAGCACAACTGCAAGTCTTTGATTCGGGACATGTTTCTTGACCATATTTCAGGTTGGGATCTATCCTCATGTTTAGACGACATTCCCATTTTGGGAAAAATCCAGAAGACGGTCCTTCTGGGGTCGTTCTTTCTCAGCCTTGGTTCACCTCCTCCATAGAAAAACCATCCAAAAGATCTACCCACATCGGAGAACGGTGCTTTCCATCCACATTTCCAATCCGGTTCTTATTCCTAAAGGACAGGGAGCTCCTGTGAAGATCAACTCCCAAGGCACCATGATTTTGGAACATGATTCCGAATGTGACATGAATTAAAGCACTTTTGTAGAAGGCGACGGAGAAAGGAACGTTGTGAATATTGCAAGCACATGATGAATTGAGAGGATGGTCAAAATGAAAATCATCAGAAATATTGGTGGTCTCAGAGAATGGAGAGGGAACTACGAGCAGCATGTTTGATTAAATTGAAAAAGAAAACAATTCAATAAAATTCAAAATAAAACCAAAATTGGTTTGACATGGGTCATATTCCTATCGGTAATATAAAAACATACTTTCCAGCCATTATGCGCCATCGTAAAAAAAGAAACAACAGACAAAAGGGAAAGGAGTCATCATTATGTTTATTATCCAATAAAAACAAAAATTCCGAGGGGACCGTCCAGTGACCGCGTCGTCCTGAACCGGAGTTGAACTCCTGGGGAGGCCCTGCTCTCGCCACTGCCAGTGTCACAAGCTCGCCTGGTAAGTACAAGGGAGAGAGCTTTTTCCGCGGTGGCTCCCTGACTCTGGAACTCATTGCCTGGAGAAATTAGGAAAGCCCCTTCTCTAGAAGTTTTTAAAAAGAACCTTAAAACCTGGCTCTTCCGCTGCGCCTTTGATGAGTAGGTATACAATTTCACATGACTGTTTAGCCTCAAAGTTCTATCATTGGAGTAGATGTCCCCCCTCGTGGGAAAGCTTGACTCCACAACCCCCTGCCATAATGAGCCCTCCTCCGCAAATTATCTGCTTCTCTCTTTTATCTCGTCTGAGTTTTTAATTAGTTTTAATCAGTTTGTCTTTCAATTATTACATGTAGCCCGCCCATTGTCACTGTGCTTGTGTCCATTGTAATTTTATATTGTTATGTATCCACATGTTTTATGTAATTATTATTATTATTATTATTATTATTATTATTATTATTATTGTGTCAGGAGCGACTTGAGAAACTGCAAGTTGCTTCTGGTGTGAGAGAATTGGCTGTCTGCAAGGACGTTGCCCAGGGGACGCCCAGATGAATTGATGTTTTTATCATCCTTGTGGGAGGCTTCTCTCATGTGCCCGCATGAGGAGCTGGAGCTGATAGAGGGAGCTCATCCGCCTCTCCCCGGATTCGAACCTGTGACCTGTCGTTCTTCAGTCCTGCAGGCACAGGGGTTTAACCCACTGCGCCACCGGGGGCTCCTATGTAATTATGATGTTATTGTTTATTGTTCACGTTTTCGGTTGTGTCTTGGTTTTCTTTATTGTAATTGTTGCTCGGGCCCGGCCTCATGTAAGCCGCTCCGAATCTCCATTGGGGAGATGGTGGCAGGGTATAAATAAAGATTATTATTATTATTATTATTATTATTATTATTATTATTATTATTGTTTGAGTCCACAATGTTCTTTGGATGTAGGTGAGCTACAACTCCCAATAGTCAAGGTCAATGCCCACCAAACCCTTCCAGTATTTTCTGTTGGTCATTCGAGCTCTGTATGCCAAGTTTGGTTCAATTCCATCTTTGGTGGAGTTCAAAATGCTCTTTGATTGTAGGTGAACTATAAATCCCAGTAACTGCAACTCCCAAATGACAGAATCAATCCCCGCCCCAACCCCACCAATATTGAAATCTGGGCATATTGTGTATTTGTGCCCAATTTAATCCAGTGATTGAAAACACATCCAGCATGTCTGATATTTACATTACAATTCAAAACAGTAGCAAAATTAGTTATGAAGTAGCAACAAAAATAATGTTATGGTTCGGGGTATTAAGGGGTTGCGGCATTTGGAAGGTTGAGAACCACTGAAACAAACCTTTTGTAATTATAAAGATAGAACTCTGCGTGTTTGCTTCCTAAGCTCTACATTCTTTACAGCCACGTGGCACTTCACACTCTGCTTGCTATGAGCTGAATGCTTAACTACAGTAGAGTCTCGCTTATCCGACCTCCGCTTATCCAATGATCTTATCTGAGGAGGAGGAGGAGGAGGAGGAGGGAGGGAGGAAAGGGAGAAAAGAGGCAGGACCGGAAGCAGAAGCGTCCTCCCTCCCTCTTTCTGTGATTTCTACACTTCTCTTACGGATCCGGGCATTTCCTGCTGGGTTGCTCTAGCCCTGAGGTGTTGCCTTGCCTTAACCCTTTGAGTCCCTGTTGTTAGTATTCTAGGTGTCTAGCGCCACGTCAGATAGGTAACAGTAGGAGACTCTGTATTATCCAACATTTTCGTTTATCCTACGTTCTGCAGGCCTGTTTATATCAGATAAGTAAGACTATACTGTATAAGCATCCTGTTTGTATTTGGGGTGCTCTGCTGTGTTTTCCCCAACAAGAAAATCCCTAACAAGCCCTTTATAGTCACACACACACAAAAAAAACCCCAAAGTCTCTCTGTGTTTTTGATCTCAATTTTATTATTCATATAAAAATATCCAGATATTTACATCAAATAAATATATTTCAGTAACAAATAAATTACACAAGCTGTGAGCAAGGGCAAAGGTCGGGGTCTCTGGAGCCAAGACCCCTCCTCTTATTATTTACAGAATTTTAATTCTCTGAAAAAGATACAAGAAGGAAGCCAAGTGGAGTCTGTTGACAGCAATGGTGCGAAGAGGCATGCAGGATTTTTGGGCGGTGGGGGTATCTACATGGCATGCTCCCCGCCTCCAAAAGGAAGGCAAAGGGAGTTCAGTTCAGTCACAGCAGTGGGTTTTATTTTATTTTTTAAAAAGACAGAACCTCTTCCTTCTTTCTCCCTTGTCAACTCTTTCTCTTTCACATACATACATACGCACATAGGAGGCGAGATCCATAGGCCAACCCTATGGGCTGTGGGGAGCACGTCCTTTACAATGGCGCAAACCCATTGAAATGCACAAGAAGTGTGCAAGGATGTTGACCCAACCCCAATCCTGATCCGCAACAATGTTGACCCAACCCCAATCCTGGCCTTTGCTCTTCTCCACCTTTCAGTTAATCCTTATCACAAGTGCTGAACCTGACTGGTTTTGAAAGGCAGCAGATTACAGGAGCTGTCTTCATAGACCTGTCAGCAGCTTATGACACTGTAAATCATCACCTTCTCCTGAGAAAAATGCATAATATCACAAAGAATTACCACCTCACCCGCTTCGTAGGAAATCTGCTACAAAACAGGAGCTTTTTTGTTGAGTTCCAGGTCAGAGAAGCAGATGGCGAAAACAGAAGAACGGCCTGCCTCAGAGGAGCGTGCTTGCTGCTTAACATTTACGCAAATGACCAGCTACTGCCAGAAGGGACAAAGAGTTTCATCTATGCTGACAATCGTGCCATCACCACCCAAGCAGGGAGCTTTGAAATGGTTGAACAGAAGCTTCCTGAAGGTTTAGGTGCTCTTGCTGCCTATTACAGGAAAAACCAGCTGATTCCTAATCCATCTAAAACACAGAAATGTGCTTTCCATCTTAAGAACAGAGAAGCAACTCGAGCTCTGAGGATGACCTGAGAAGGAATCCCACTGGAGCATTTCAGCACACCAAAATACTTGGGAGTCACCCTGGACCGTGCTCTGACTTATAAGAAGCACTGCTTGAATATCAAGCAAAAGGTGGGTGCTAGAAATAATCAAATGAAAGCTGACTGGCACAACCTGGGGATTACAACCAGACAAAGTGTAGACATCTGCCCTTGCGATTTGCTACTCTGCTGCTGAATACACATGTGGAATACATCTCACCACATTAAAACAGTGGATGATGCATGTTGTATTATCACAGGATGCCTACACTACACACCACTGGAGAAATTACACTGTTTAGCTGGTATCGCACCACCTGACATCTGCTGGGAAGTAACAGCCAGCAATGAAAAGACCAAGGCATTGACATCTTTATCCCATCCTCTGTTCGGATAACAGCCAGCATGCCAATGCCTTAAATCAAGAAACAACTTCCTGAGATCTACAAAGATACTTGTAAGAACACCTCAGCAAGTGAGAGTCCAAAAGTGGCAGGCTAAAATTCAGCACCTCAATCAGTGGCTGAGACCAGATGAGAAACTCCCTCCTGGGCACACAAAAGACTGGGCATCTTGGAAGGCGCTAAATAAGCTGCACTCTAGCACCACAAGGTGCAGCCAGCTTTAAGAAATGTGGCTAAAAATGGAGTCCATGATACATGCAGAGAAGAGCAAACCACAGACCACTTCTACAATGCAACCTGAGCCTGTCACAAGCACAATGGAGGATCTTCACAGCAACACCAGAGGCACTTCAAATGGCCAGTTTCTGGTCAAAGGACATTTAGCATCATGTCAAGTTCTTTTTTAAACGTTGTGTTTTTCAATGTATTTTAACTGTATCCTCAACTCGCTTCTAACACAATAAAAAAAGTTAATTCCTTGGGCAACGTGAGGCTCTTTCAAACATACATATTTACTTCTCTCTGCCATGTAAATGACAAGGTGGTATCCTCTCATCTTCCCAATGCTCAGCCTATTTGGGGCCCTTCGGGTTGCACTCCTCTAAAGAGCCACGAAATGTAATTTTTGGAGTGTTTCCCTGGGATCTGGCAAAGAGAAAGGGGAGTTATACACCATCATCCTAATCCTCAGCATTTCATTTGGGGAGAAAAGCAGGTAACCCAGCCCAAATATTGCATATGGCTGGTCAGTACTGAAAGGTGAAAAGGGGAGAGAAGGATACGGAGCCAATATAGCGGCTGCACCCTGCTTTTCCCAATGAGCGTTCACAGCATGGCTGTCAGTCATGGGACCTACTTCGATGACAAAAGACCAGCAAGTCCGTCTGTCGATGGCTACATCTCCAGTGAGGCCAAACTCACCGTCCAAAGGCAAAGGAAGAGCAGAAAACAACTCCCACAAAGTTTTAGGAGTGTCCCAGAAGGAAGCGCAGCTGAAAACGCCAAACGAGAGAGGCGCACCAGGAGGAGAGCGCCTTGGCAGTGTATAAAAACTGGTTGTGTGAAAACAAACACCAGGTCCAAATAAGTTTTTAAATAGGATTATTAATCTGGTATTTTTTTTTTTAAAAAAAAGAGTCCCAGCTGGAGGCAGTGATCCCAGCTTGGTTGATGAGGTAGTTGAGAGGTCCATGACACGTCTCTGACTGCATCGTGATGTTGGAGAGGTCCGTGGCACGGAGGCTCATACCGATGACTCCTCCGGGTTAGAGTCCGGCAGTGCTTGCCTCTGTTTGAGTTTCCGGCGCAGCTCCTCGGCCAAGTCGCTGTAGTCCGGTCGCTCCTCGGCGCCCAGGTTGAGGCGGATGTAGCCGTTGGAGGAGGAGCCACGGATGTTGCCCAGGTTGATGCGGTTGGGCGAGTGGAGGGGCGGCGACTGCAGCGGCTGCCCGGGGATGCCGTTGGCGGTGGGGGACGGGGTGGTGCCCCCGTTCTGGCACACGGCATGGCCCGGGACAATCTTGAGGGAGCCGTCTGAGTAGTAATAGCTAGCTGGGTCCCAAAGCTTCTCATCTGAGTCCGAGGTGGTGCTAGGAATGAAGGTAGGGCTCTTGGCCTCCTTTGGCATCTCAATGGGATAGACAAGGGTGCTTTCAATGACCTTGGAGCCCTTCTCCAGCTCCTCCTTCAGCCGGCGCCTCAAAGACAGCACCACCAGCAGAAGTACCAAGCACACAGCCGACAGGGCGATCACCACCATCCAGACCAGGCCCAGGTTCTCCAAGGGGGCCCGTGCTTCCAGAGAGGTGGCTGAACCCGACACCACTGTCACCACATAGCTCTCCGACATCAGTTCATTTAGCTCTTCCAACTGGACGCACCGGTACTTGCCACCGTGCCTCATGGTGACATCCAAAATGATCAGGGCCTGGAGGTGGGCGTCATAAAGGACCGACGTTTGCTCCTCGGGCAATTCCTGCCCATTGAAGGTCCAGATGGCCTTGGCCAGGTTGGAGGTGAGGCGGCAAGGGAGCACTAGGTCTGTGCCCACCATCACGGTGACATTCTTGGCAATGACCTTGGTTCCTGAGAAGGAGAGGATAGGCAAAAGATGTCGTTACTCTGACTGTTCTTCACTCAACAAACAAGGTGGCATTCTGAAATCACAGAAACTTGGAGAGATGCCAAATATTGATTCAAATTCTGGTCCATCTACCTTAATGGTGACTACACTGACTGGCTGTAGCTGACCAGGGTTTAAAACAGAAAGCTTTCCCTTCTCCATCTGAAAATATTGGTAGGAACTACACGAATTCTAAAACATCAGCTAAAAAGCCTACAAGTGTTGAGCAGCCTCCATATTTTCAAGCACGATTCTTCTAGCCCAGTAGGGAGTAGCAGAGAAATGACGCAAAGCAAGGAAGCTTCTCTTTGTTCTCTCTGACACCTTGGACATCATCAACTAGAAGTGTCAGACTCTGGGAGATCTTGGAGTTAAAATCAAGCTGACAACAATAAAATTCTGGAGACAAGGGGTTTATTTCTTCTTTCCACAATCCTAAAAAGACAGTTCTAAAGTTTTCCCACTCAGATCTCCTGTATATATCAGGTTACAATATCAAAGGCATCTTTCTGCTTTTATCTCTTTCTTCCTTCCTTCCTTCCTTCCTTCCTTCCTTCCTTCCTTCCTTCCTTCCTTCCTTCTTCCTTCCTTCTTCTCCTCCTCCTTCTTCTTCCTTCCTGCCTTCCTTCTCCCTCCCTACCTCTTCTTACTTCCTTCCTTCCTCCTCCCTCGCTTTTCTTTTCTTCCTTCCTTCTCCCTCCCTTTTCTTTTCTTCCTCTCCTTCTCCTCCCTCCTTCCTCTTCCTCCTTCCCTCCCTTCTTCTTCCTTCCTTTTCCTTCCTTCCTTCCTTCCTTCCTTCCTTCCTTCCTTCCTTCCTTCCTTCCTGCCTGCCTGCCTGCCTGCCTGCCTGCCTTCTTCTCCCTCCCTCCCACCCATCCATTCTTGCTTACTTTCTTTCCTTCCTTTCTTTACTTTAGCACTATTAACATATTTTAAACAAATCAAATAGATGAGATATGGAACATGGATACTATGGAAAGGGTACACGGGAGAGGCACTGGGCTCATGGAGGAGAATATGGAGTGGAGATCAAACCTCATCCATACCACAATTTACTACACCTCAAAAAGTAGACAAAAAAAGACTGGATAAAACTCTAAAACGTGTGGATATAACTAAATGCGGTTGAGGGAACAACTATAATATGTTGTGAAATCCAGAAATAAAATAGCCTCACATGTACCAGAACTATTTGGCCCAAGTGTGGCCACTTTTAGAGGGGTAATTACGTCTATAATTGTGTGTCTTCTCAGTGCAGCAGACTGACACCAAAGACTACAGATTTGACAAAACACCAAAATACTCCTGAGATTCAGTGTTGTCTGGAACCCATGATGTACTGACCTGGCCGAGTGGCTCGCATGGGCCTGCACAGTGCTGGCTCTGTACCAAAATCTTGGATCAACACAGAGGTCCTGCAAGAAAAAAGAACAAGCACATCACAAGGGATTCACCACATGGAATAGTTCTCTAGGAAAAGAGGTAGACATTAATGGCCAAGAAAGGCGCCTTATCAATCTAAATTTATTTATTTATTTACAGTATTTATATTCCACCCTTCTCATCTCGAAGGGGACTCAGAGCAGATCACAGAACACATATATGGCAAACATTCAATGCCATTATACACTGACAAGAAAGACAACTGTACATAGATAGAGGTATATATAAGCGTTCCCATCTTTGGCATCTTAGAGGCTGTGCTCTATTCCGGCCACAGGGGGTGCTGTTGATCCACTTTCCCTGCTGAACAGATTTTGTTTGTAAACTTCCTCCTTGACTGAATTGCACATTTTTCTGGCATTTCCTTAAATACATCCCCACTAAGCAGTACCTATTTATCTACTCACATTGCTGTTTTTGAAACTGCTAGGTAGGCAGAAACTGGGCTAAAAGCCAGGAGCTCACCCTGAACCAGACTTTGAACGGTCAACCTTTTGGTTGGCAAGATTTACTTCAGCCGCCAGTTAAATTGCTGGATAAAGCTTTGGCAGGATCAAAGATGGGAAGTGCAAGAATTTGTTTGTTTATTTATTTATTTACAGTATTTATATTCTGCCATTCCCACCCTGAAGGGGACTCAGGGTGGATAACAACGCACAAATACACGGCAAACATTCAATGCCATTTTTTAGATATACAGACATACAGATAAGAGCTATTTTTTGCATTTCCACTTTGGCACATGGAAGTTAGGCTCAATTCTGGCTACAGGGAGGGCTGTTGCTTTATCTACATAGAATAGAATCATAGAATCATAGAGCTGGAAGAGTCCAACCCCCTGCCAAGAAGTATGAAAATTGCATTCAAAGCACCCCCGACAGATGGCCATCCAGCCTCTGTTTAAAAGCCTCCAAAGAAGAAGCCTCTATGACACCGAGTCATTTTGATCGTATTTCCTCCTTGCTCTTTGACTGCTGGCATTTCTATAGTGTCGTAAAATACCTCCCCACTTTTAAGTGGTCCCTAATTTCTCTACTCACACCTCAGCTGTTTCCGAACTGCTTAGGTGGACAGAAAGCTAGGCTTAACCGTTGGATGCTCAAATCGACTTGGGCTTTGAACTTGCCACCTTCCGGTCAGCAGTGATCTATTGCAGTTGGCGATTAACCAGCTGTGCCTCAGCCCAGCCCTTCTGCATCTCTGCGTGATCCTTGTGCTACTGCAGTTTGACTCACAGAGACTGTAGTCTTATTTTAAAGTTTCCAAACTATATGGTTCAGGTTGGGGGTGGGGAGGCAGGTAGGCTACAATTTCATCACATTTGGAAAATGTAGAATAGCTGAACAAAAGATATAGACATGCCTTTCTCACCAACTGATTTCTAGTTCCACCTTTCCTTTCCTCCATTGCACTGTCTCCCCCCAAACTCACTCATCTCATCTCTTACCCGTCATAGGCATCAATACGGACACAGCGGCTCCCATTCCAGGTCCAGGCGCAATAAGGGTCCTTGGCCAGGACGCAGTCGGAGCAAGAGTGATACTTGCTACAGTCGGCCACCGGAAGCTGAACGACTTCGGAATTGGCACCCACAAACAGCACCCTCTGAAAAGGAGAAGGGAGGACAGTCAAAAGTGGAACGGCATCTGGGGCCACATTGTTTCACCCCTGCCCTTAGGATACCAACAAGAGACCATCTCATTTCCTGGGCTGCTGTATCCCACTCATGACTTTTTGGTCAGTAGTGATCTTAAAGCAGCTGACTCCCAGCCTCGTCTCCTGCACTGCACTAATAATATAATATATTGTATATACATATAACATTTATAATATTATAATGCAATACAATATAACACTTATAATAACACAATATTATAATTATATATTTTATATTACATGTAATATTACTAATAATATTACAGTATAATGGTATAGTACAATATAGTAATATATAATATTAATATTGTGCTATGGTAATAATGTAATATATTGTATTTACATATTACTTGTAAGCTGCTCTGAGTCCCCTTCAGGGTGAGAAGGGTGGCATATCAATGTCATAAATAAATAAATAAATAATATTTATTTAGTACATTTGTATCCCATCCTTCTCACCCCGGGGGGAGGGGGAAATGGGACGGGACTCAGAGCAGCTTCACAACAGGCACTATTCAGTGCCATCCACATTCATAAAACCATTTGTTAAAATCACACAGGTTTAAAAATCTTTTTATCTTTTAATTTTTTTTGTGCCATCTTTTCCCACGTACAGAGCTAGTTTACTGTTTTTCTTTGAAATACGGAAAATATTGAACAACATTTACCCTCCGGATGCCTCAATTAATGTAATTTTATTGGTATCTATTTGCATTTTGAAATTCACCAGTAGCTGCTACATTTCCCACCCTCGGCTTATACTTGAGTCAATATGTTTTCCCAGATTTTTTGTGGTAAAATTACGTGCCTCAGTTTATATTCAGGTTGTATTCAATATACCGTATATACTCAAGTATAAGCCGAGGGACCTAATTTTACCACAAAAAACTGGGAAAACGTATTGACTCGAATATAAGCCAAGGGTGAGAAATGTAGCTGCTACTGGTAATCATCAGTAGGTATTTACACAAAACGGTAATTTAAGAGAAGACTGGCCAACTCTGATTCAACCATTATTCTAACCTCCTTCAATGTAAATGTGCTTACCTATTACCCATAATGATAGAATAAAATAATAAATGTAATAACGTAATAAAAATAATAATAGAGTAAATAATGGAAATTTAATAATAGTAGTAATAATAATAAAGTAATAAATGTAATAATAACAATAATAGAGTAAAATAATAAATGCAATCAATATAATAATACAGTAAAATAATGTAAATGTAATAATAATACAGTAAAATAATACATGTAATAAAAGCAATAATAGAGTAAAATAATGTAAATGTAATAATAATAATAATAATAATAATAATAATAATAATAATAGAGTAAAATAATAAATGTAATAAAAATAATACTAATAGCAGAGTAAAATAATAAATAACCTTGACTCGAGTATAAGCCGAGGGGATTTTTTTCAGCCTAAAAAGGGGGCTGAAAAACTAGGATTATACTCTAGTATATACAGTATATGGTAATAATAATACTAACACTATTTTTATTTCGCTGTTCTCCCCAAGGTGTTACTCTATGAATCTAAGCTCCATTAGGGAACGTTCCTTACCTTTTGGTGGGATAAGACCAGGCTTTTGATAGGCTGGGGTCGCTCAAAGACTTGTACCTCTTCAATGAGATGGACACCAGAAGGCAAGACCACTGCCTTGTGCAGCCAGCCGTTCTCTGCAAAAGATCCAGAGAAAGGCAGAAGGTCACCACATGAAAAATTTGGGCCCCTATAAGCAGAACCACGACACCAATTGAACCCCACCTTGCCCTCCTGAAAACCACAGCCTCCTGGTTGTGGTCCTCCAAAGCTATTTCTGGTAGCCCTTGACCCCTCCAGACTCCAGAGTGGCATTTTATTGGAAACCATGTGACTGGTTTCCAATTTGGATGTGGCCATATAATGTTGGAGAGATTGCTCATTGCCAGCCTGTACACTGAGTCATCTCAGGGTGCACCAAAGAGTTTGAATCAATGGACACTGACACCACGTTAGCTGCCTTGGCTCAATGCTATGGGGTCCTGGGAGTTGGGAGATTTTTGCAAAATCTTTTTTTTTTTGCCTTCTTTGCTTTTCGCCATATTACAACTCCTATGATTCCATATCACTGAACCATTGCACTCCAAGTGGTATCAAACTGCAATGATTCTACAGTGTAGATCAGCGTTTCTCAACCTGTGGGTTGAGACCCCTGGGGGTTCGAGAGGGGGTGTCAGTGGGGTTGCCAAAAATCATCAGAAAACATATATCTCTGATGGTCTTAGGAACCCCTTTGACAGGGAAGGTTGAAGATCTCTCCGCCTGTCCTTCTCTTCCTTATTGGAAACAGACAGCGAGTCCTCCCCCCAAAAGCCCTCCTTCGCTGTGACTGGCATGCTTGGCACATGGCAACATGGTGCACTTTTGTAGTTGAGGGAGAGCTTGAGAGGCTGGAGTCCTTTTAAGGCATTGGGGTTCTGTGTGGGAAATTTGGCTGAATTCTATCATTGGTGGAGTTCAGAATGCTCTTTGACTGTAGGTGGACTATAAATCCCAGCAACTACAACTCCCAAATGACAAAATCAATCCCCCATCCCAACCTCACCGGTATTCAAATTTGGGCATATCGGGTATTTGTGCCAAATTGGATCCAGTAAATAAAAATACATCCTTCCAAATGTCAAGATCTATTTTCCCCAAACTCTACCAGTGATCACATTTGGGCATTGTTCCGTCTCCCAGGAGTTTGATTTGCATACATACACAGTTGTAGGAAATAGCACCCCTTTTTGCATTTTTTCCAGGGTTGTTACAGACTTAGCAATACCCTGATAGTTAACCATTAACAGAGGCTTGAAGTCAGCCTGCAAAGCCTTTGCTGCTGTTGGTTTGCAAAAGTATCTTTTGATTTTGAGACCGCCCCTTTTTCCTGGGGATGAAATCTCCATTTTGAGAAGCTCTTCTGCCTTCTACAGAATAGCAAAAGACTCAGATGTGCTTGTGGTCAAGCCAGGCCAGCTCAGACAAGCCATCGTAAGTACTAACCTCTTGCCTTTAAAACTAGTTCTGAGTTTAGATAGGGAAAGACCTGCTCTTTCTAAAATAGCAACTCAGCACTAGGGCAGAGAATATCCCAGGATTTCTCTGCCATTGGAAGAAGCTCTAACTACTTTGCCTCCAAGCTAGCTTTGAGTTTAGATAGGGAAAGACCTGCTCTTTCTAGTATAGCAACTGAGGGCTAGACTAGAGAGTATTCCAGGATTTCTCCACCATTGGAAGAAGTTAACTCAGCAGCTGAAGGGAAAAGTAAGAAAGGAACAGCCACATGATTTTATAAGTTGACTGTTTGTATTTGTAACCTCAACAAGTTGTGCCAAGCCTGTCAAGGACTTTGAGAAAATAAAAATCTTGTTTGATGTTCAATCTGGGGAGATCTTAGTTGCTGGGACTTCTGAGCTTCAAAGTAAGGCGGTCCACCCGGCTAAAGAAAGGAGCACATCATAGTTTTCAACCTTAAAGTGCCTGGGTGTGACTGCACAGGCATATTGATTATTCGTGCCAAGTTTGGTCCAGATCTATCATTGTTTAAGTCCACAGTACGTGACTTAAGATGTAGGTGAACTACAAATCCAACAAAACTCAAGGTCAATGCCCACCAAACCCTTCCACTATTTTCTGTTGGTCATTGGAGTTCTGTGTACCAAGTTTGGTTCAATTCCATCGTTAGATACTATAAATCCCACCAACTACAACTCCCAAATGACATCAATCCCCTGCCAACCCCACCAGTATTCATGTATTTGTGCCAAATTTGGTCCAGTGAATGAAAATACATCCTGCATATCAGATATTTACATTACGATTCATAACAGTAGCAAAATTAATTATGAAGTACAAAAATGGTGCTGTTGTTATGGATGGGGGTCACCACAACAGGAAGAACTGTATTAAGGGGTCATGGCACTAGGAAGGTTGAGAAACACTGGTCTAAGGACAACAAAGCTCCTTGGCATGACAACACCCCCCGGTAGCCAGAGTCGAGCACAGCCTCCAGATGCCAGAGATGGAAAAAAGATGGGAAGCCTTTACCTCTGTTTATGTACTGTCTGTCTTGTTAACTGGCCAAGTGGCATTGAATGTTTGCCATATATGTGTACTGTAATCCACCCTGAGTCCCCTTGGGGAGATAGGGCAGAATATAAATATGTTATATGATGTTATGCTTGGGGGTCACCACAACATGAGGAACTCTATTAAGAGGTTGCAGCATTAGGAAGGTTGAGAAACACTAGTGTAGATGCACTTTGGGGAGCCATTCTCTCCAAGGCGAAAGGGAACACTTCTTTGAATAGGAAGCCTCCTTCCTGACACATGTCATGTCTACTCTAGCAACAAAAGAAGCATCAAGGAAGGATCTCTCTTGCTTCCTAGCCATTTTTTTAAAAAAAAACATGCAGATTTAATTGATTGTTTAATCCGTTAAGATTTCTTAAGCACCGGCAACTGATTAACGCAAACAGAGCACTGAATTGGGTAAGATCTGTTCAAGAGGTTTGTGTTTGGTTTCAAAGGAGCCTTTGAAGTGCAGCACTGACTGATGGTATCTGGTCTGTTAAAAAATTAATTATCCCTTGAAAGTGTGGGCAAAGCCTGCTGCAATCTCTAAAGATGGAGGAGGAAGAGGAGGGTGAATAGGAGGTTCAAGGCAATGTCTGGGCATCTTTCCTTAACCAGTTGAACCAGTTCAGCAAAACCTTCCTCTAGTTGCTTGGTCTTAAGAGGAACTTCCATTGGGATTTATGAACGCTTATTTTAAGGGGTGTGAAATCTATGGGGAAGTGGAATAAACAGGTTTTCGGAAATAAACAGAGGAAAGAATACTCTAACACTGTGTTGTCAAAGGCTTTTATGGCCGGAATCACTGGGTTGCTGTGAGTTTTCCGGGCTGTATGGCCATGTTCCAGGCGCATTCTCTCCTGACGTTTTGCCCACATCTGGCAGGCATCCTCAGAGGTTGTGCAGTCTGTTGGAAACTAGGCAAGTGGGGTTTATATATCTGTGGAATGATGTCCAGGATGGGAGAAAAAAACTCTTTCTGCTTGTGACAAGTGTGAATGTTGCCATTGGTCACTTTAATTATTTACCTAAGTCTGAAAAGGCTTGAAAGCACAAACAACAACAATAATCCTATCTCATCAGCCGAATGCAGGCCCACATTTCCCATTGAAATACTAATAGGTTTATATTTGTTAAAATTGTTCTTCAATTAAATTATTGTATTGTTTTAAGTGTTTTTTGCTCTACAAATAAGATATGTGCAGTGTGCATAGGAATTCATTCATTTTTTTTCCAAATTTTAATCCAGCCCTCCAACAGTTTGAGAGACTGTGACCTGGCCCTCTCTTTAAAAAGTTTGAGGACCCCTGTACTATACCACTATACTGCATTATTAGTAATATTACATGTAAATTATTATTATTATTATTATTATTATTATTATTATTATTATTATTATTTTGTATCACAATATTATGATCAATATTATATGTACCTACAAGTTGTTATAATTATTAGGATAGCACAATATTAGTATGATATATTACTATATTGTACTATACCAGTAGACTGCAATATTATTAGTAATATTATACGGAATTTGTAATATAATATTGTAATATAATATTGCATTATTATTAATATTTTATTGTGTTACATTATAATATTATCAAATATTATATGTATATACAATATAATACTATTAGCACAGCACAATATTAGTATTATATATTACTACTAGTTGTCCTCTGCCACACATTACTGTGGCCCAGTCTGGTGATCTGGAAAATAAAGTAATGAGAAAGTGTTGGTTTCTAATATATGTAATTTCTTTATGCTTGTGGGTAAACAGTATTTCTTATTGTTTCTTTGTCATTGTTGGTTGTCTGGTTTGTTTACTCCAGAACATGCAACTTACCATTGTTCTTCTTTAGGGGTCCCTTTCAAATCTATGATACTACATCTGTCATATACATACATACATACATACATACATACATACATACATACATGTGTGTGTGTGTGTGAATCATATCTATCTATCCATATCTATGGCTGGATGCCTCTTTTTCAGGAGGGATTTAATTACGTTTTATAGCCCTAGTGAAGGGTGCTGGACTTAGGGCAGAATTTCTCAACCTGGGGGTTGGGACTCTTGGGAGGGGGGGGTGTCACGAGGGGGTGTCAGAAGGGTCGCCAAAGACTATCAGAAAATACAGTCATGGAGGTTCTGTGTGAGAAGTTTGGCCCAATTCTATCGTTGGTTGTGTTCAGAATGCTCTTTGATTGAAGGTGAAATTGTGAGACCACTGAGGATGCCTGCCATAGATGTGGGCAAAACGTCTGGAGAGAATGCTTCTGTAACGTGACCATACAGCCCGGAAAACTCACAACAACTCAGTGAATCCGGCCAGGAAAGCCTACGACAATACACTCAAAGCATAGCACTACTGTTTAGGGATCTCAAAGATGCAATGGAGGGCAACTTTTGGGCTCCTGTACCTGTTCCAATGTACAGCACTTGGTAGGGCTTCCCATCCAAGCCATGGACTCGCTCCACCACCAGCTGTGTGAAGTTGGCATCCTTCTTCACCAGCAATGGCCGGTTGCCTTGTGGCAAGACTGCTTTGTCCATCAGTGGGTGCTTCTTGGCGAAGTTGAGGGTGTTGTCCGGCAGCTCCAGGGAGCTGGTGAAGCTGTTGTGCCGGTGCCAGTTGGTGATACACTGGAAAGAAAGGAAGGGAAAGAGATGCTACGGCTGGAACCGAAAACCTATAGGTCTTTCCTCCAGGCCCCGAATTTCTAGCATCATAGTACCTTAGCACTGTTGTCAATGGCCTACAAATACAATTTAGCAGGCATGGGCAAACTTCGACCTTCCAAGTGTTTTGGACTTCAACTCCCACAAATCCTAACAGCCAGTAGGTCACTGTTTCTCAATCTGGCAGTCGGGACTCCAGGGGGAGAGGTCGTGAGGGGGGTGTCAGAGAGGGCACCAAAGACGATCAGAAAACACATTTCTGATAGTCTTAGGAACACAGTGCTCTCCAGAGTTAGGTGAACTACATCTTCCCTAAATCACTGTCATTTCCTCCCAAATCCCAAATTGTCTGTTGGTCATGGGAGTTCTGTGTGGCCCAATTCTATCATTTGTGGGATTCAAGGGGCTCTTTGATTGTAGGTGAACTATAAATCCCAGCAACTACAACTTCCAAATGTCAAGGTCTATTTTCCCCAAACTCAACCAGTGTTCACATTTGGGCATACTGAGTATTCGTGCCATGTACGGTCCAGATCCATCATGTACGGTCCAGAGTCCACAGTGCTCTTTGGATGTAGGTGAACTACAACTCCAAAACTCAAGGTCAACAAACCCTTCCAGTATTTTCTGTTGGTCATGGGAGTTCTCTATGCCAAATGCTCTTTGGTTGTAGGTGAACTATAAATCCCAGCAACTATAACTCCCAAATGACAAAATCAATACCCCCCCACCCCACCCCATCAGTACTCAAATTTGGGCATTATCGGGTATTTGTGCCAAATTTGATCCAGGGAATAAAAATCCTCCTGCCTATCAGATATTTACATGATGATTCATAACAATAGCAAAATTACAGTTATGAAGGAGCAACGAAAATAATGTTATGGCTGGGGATCAGCACAACATGAGGAACTGTATTCAGGGGTCATGGCATTAGGAAGGTTGAGAAACAGTGACCTAGACACTTGGGAAGTATCCAATGTATGATTCAATGCAAAAACCAGCATTGTAATCTTGTTTGCTTTGTATTAATCTTGCTGTGTATCAAATAATAATAATAATAATAATAATAATAATAATAATAATAATAATAATAGTGGGAGCTGAAGTTCAAAACTCCTGGGTGGCCGAAGTTTGCACATGCCTTCAATTTAGGGATCAAAAGAAAACATTCAGGGAAGAAATGGAGGCGCTGAACAGTCAGGGAAGAAACGGAAGAATCATAGAATCAAACAGTTGGAAGAGACCTCATGGGCCATCTAGTCCAACCCCCTGCCAAGAAGCAGGAATATTGCATTCAAATCACCCCTGACAGATGGCCATCCAGGCTCTTTTTAAAAGCTTCCAAAGAAGGAGCCTCCACCACACTCCGGGGCAGAGAGTTCCACTGCTGAACGGCTCTCACAGTCAGGAAGTTCTTCCTCATGTTCAGAGCTGTGAAGTGAGTGGTTTCCAAAGCCTCACTATAAATGGGGGGGGGGGGGGGGAGATATTTAGGAGTATAAGAGTTCTTATATGGGTCCCAATGCCATCATTTTGCCCCTCACCATCCATAGCTACACCTGTGGTATAACTATAGCTCAACTAAGAGTAGGATGGCAGAAGGGATCCAGGCAGGGAGGGATGGTTAAACCCATATGTGCGATTTCACTGACACCACGAAGAAGAAATAAAGGATATGAAGCGGGAATGATGAAGAGAGAATAAGAACTCTTCGCCATTTCTGCTTCATATACTTTATATCCAGACACTTCCAACCAGAATCTGGCAATGCTCTCCCTGTATCAATTAGGTGCGCAATGGAGGGATGCTGACTGTCGCTGAATGGGGACCGCTCAGCAATTGGGGCTGGAGACCAGGGCAGAGGGAGACGCAGAAATGCTTCTGCTAAACAAGGATGGATTCAATGACGGCAGAGACTAGTGGGGCGGATTCGCGGAAGTTTAGGGATGCACAAGTCCTGAGCCAATTCTATCACAGAAATTCCCACCAGACGGTTTTCTCTTGGCAAGCTTTTCTCAACGCGCTCCCACGTGTTGTCAGCTGCCGGCGCCAATGTGAAGTGGCCCACGCAGTGGCATTTTTGTAAAACTACCGTTTACGCTAAACGGCACATGGCAACAATCTGGATACTGTAAAACAATCCCGTGGTGCCTTTACGAAGACGGCATCCACCCGCCCAAAGCAGTAACAGAAGGGAAGGAAATGGCCAGAAGAGAGCAGTACTGAGGCGACCCGCTTTCTCTACTTACGGCTCCGGGACGCGGGACGATCTCCGCGTCAGAGTATCGAACCCACTTCTGGGCAATCTCGCTGTACTCCTTGTAGGGGCCGTCAAACACTTTCTGCACGTCCAAAATCTCATATTGGCACACAGCAGACACGTCGACATCCCCCCTGCAGAGGGGAAAAAGGAGAGAGCAAAAACAAAAGGGTCAAAGGCATCCAAGGTTGGGAAGATCTGAATCCATGTTGGCATCAAAAGAAAGCAACAGACCCTTGCCAATGACTTCAATCCATGCAGGAACTATTAGGCATGACTTCCATCCTCCAAACCACGTGATTTCAATCCCTAGAGCAGGGGTCCTTAAACTTTTTAAACAGAGGGCCAGGTCAGAGTCCCTAAAACTGTTGGAGGGCCGGATTATAATTTTAAAAAACATGAATGAATTCCTATGCACACTGCACACATCTTATTTGTAGTGAAAAAACCCACTTAAAAACAATACAATAATTAAAATGAAGAACAATTTTAACAAATATAAACTTATTAGTATTTCAGTGGAAAGTGTGGGCCTACTTTTGGCTGATGAGGTAGGATTGTTGTTGTTGTTGTGTACATTAAAGTCGTTTCAGACCTAGTTTGATCCTGAGCGAGGGCCGGGTAAATTACGTCAGGAGAGAATGCCTCTAGAAAATGGCCATATAGCCCGAAAAAACCTACAACAACCCAGTTATTCCTAGTATTCAGGTGGATACTGTCATTTCAACCCAAAAAGTAACTTTTCAAACCCCTGGCTTTTGCAGTTCCTCGCCCTTTTAAAAGTGCAGTAAAAAAAGATAGGGAATCTTTGAAAAGGTTTCTGTTTTCTTAATTATCCATGACTCCCTGGAAGGAAGAAAGATGTTCTGTGCCTCCGTTCTGTTTGGCATCAGAAGAAAGGCGAGGCCCTCCGGGGTGAAATCTGAAGCCCCCTCAACCCTATCTGCATAAATCATGCAATTTGGAAAACATTTCTCCAGCATGAGATCACTTGTTTTGCACTCTCTTATCTTATCGTATGGCTTATCTATTTTGGACTTGGATCATTTCTCTTCTGTAATCTGTTTTTACACACTTTTTAGGCAGATTATGTTCACATGATGCAAGAGCAGGGAACAAAGTGAGAAGTAGCGGTTAACCTAATTTTTTTGCCTCCAAAATATGAGCAGACATTGTGGTGTTTAGTTTAGGGAAAACTAAACACCGCCTCCATTTTATAAAATGAAAGGGGAGGCTCTCCATGACTTACCAGCGGGACTGGAAGACCCCAAAAAAGCTGGTTTCTCGCCAGTGATCCCCGTTCAGCGTGAAGGAGCCCTGCAACCGGTTGAAATGGAGCTGCTGCTCTGGGATGGAGCACAGCAGACGGGCCTTGAGGAAGGTGGTCCACCTCTTCTGCAAAGTCCGGGCACCACCTACGTCGCCCTGAACAGAAAAGGCCACATTTAGGAACATGCTTTTCGTCCGACACGTTGAACAATTCCTCCCAGATCAGACCCCTGTTGTCACTGTGCTCTTTGTTGAGTACCTCTAAAATTATTATTTATTCAGAAATAAAAGAAGGAAATAGAGAGAATACAAACAATACACAAAACAAACTACTACATTTACTAAATGTAAAACACTGGGTTTGCACCGGGATTGTGGCGCAGCTGGCTGAGTGTCAGCTGCATTACGATCACTCTGATCGAAAGGTCATGACTTCAAAGCCAGCCCAGGTTGGAGTGGGTTTCCAACCAATTGTGAAGCCTGTTGTCGACCTTTGCAACCCGAAAGACAGTTGCATCTGTCAAGTAGGAAAATTAGGTACCACCTTAACATGTGGGGAGGCTAAATTAACTAATTTATGAGGCCATAAAAAAGACTCCAGCAAAGCACTCCAGCAAAAGCATGCGGGGAATGCAGAAGTACTTCATCAGTGTCGCAGATGGACGATGAAAGCGACAGCTCCCCTGGCGGCCAGAAAGTTAAATAGCCTCTGTGTATGTCTGTATGTTATGTCAAAAATTGGCATTGAATATTTGCCATATATGTGTACACTGTAATCCGCCCTGAGTCCCATGCAGGGTGAGAAGGGCGGAACATAAAAGCTGCAAATAAATAAATAAATAAATAAAACAATCGCCCAAACCGAAAACATACTTATTGTAATAGAAATATTGATTTTACTCCTTTTTGCTACTCTCTTTAGATGAGGGCTTCTTAAACATTTTCCACACATTGGCTCTTTCCAACTAAGAAATGTTTATTTGACCCCAGGTATATAAAACAGGTACACGAATCACGCATTAGGTAAAGGTAAAGGTTTCCCCTTGACATTAAGTATAGTCATGTCCAACTCTGGGGGCTGGTGCTCATCTCCATTTCTAATCCAAAGAGCCGGCACAGTCCACAGACATCTCCAAGGTCATGTGGCCAACATGACTGCATAGAGCAGTTACCTTCCCGCCGGAGCAGAACCTAGTCATCTACTCACATTTGCATGTTTTCAAACTGCTAGGTTGGCAGAAGCTGGGCCTAACAGCGGGAGCTCACTCTGCTCCCTGGATTCGAACCACCAACCTTTCGGTCAGCAAGTTTAGCAGCTCAGCGGTTTAACTCGCTGCGCCACCAGGGCCCCCTAATCAAACATTAACTGATTATAAATCAGCATTTGTGTCCGGAACTGCAGCTTTCTGGCGAAGAAATTACCTCACGAACAGAGTGGAAAGGTTTTATTTCTAGAAGCATACAGTGGTACAAAACAAAATTCCAACTGAGAGATTCTTTCCCTCCTATCCCTCACCCTGTTGGCCAGCCTCAACATTCTAACATTCTGATTGGTTGCTACTGTGATATAATTTGCATATGGTTTCTGATTGGCCAGCCTCAACATTCTAACATTCTGAAGTAGCTGAGAGGGGAAAGGTAAGACTGTGGCCCCTTCCTTTCATTGCTCCCATTTTCATGGAAACTCTTTCCCTTGTTTCAAGTACGCATAGGCCAGGGCAGGCTAAGGCATGATCTATTTCCTGGTTCTACGCAAAACCAGAAAAGAAGGTCATGACAATGTGCAAGACTTGTTAAACAGGCAGATATTCCTTTTTATGAAGTACAGCTTAAGCCTCCTCTGCAGAATGCACTGTAAATACTGCAGATAAAATGTGAGTAAATATCTAAAACGGTCACTAGTTGGCATTCAGAAAACTTTTACCAAAAATTGCCAAATTTTTCATGTCCCAACATTGAGCTAAGGGGACTCCCATTTGGAGTCGGGACCCAGTTTAAAAAGCAGTGTTTTAGATAACTCTACATATCCACATGTTTACTTTTAATACTTCGTTGAGTAAAATAGGAGTCCTTGCTTCGAGGGCCTTATCACCTAAGTTTCAGCAAGGAGAGGAAAGGCAAAGGAACAAATAAAAAAGGATGGATAGTAACAAGAACAAATGGGCCTACTCAAGTTTTGCCTGAGCCGAGGATGCTCAGAATACTAGCCTTCCAATATACTATTTGAATGAACCCACACTTACCTTGCAGACTCTGGCCACACGAGCCACCACCTGGTCAATGTCACAGTCATATTCAACAGCCCGTTCACTGAAGAGGAAATAAACCTTGTCGTCATCTCCTTTGTCGCTGCCTTTGCTCTCCTGGACGAAGGCTGAGCCCACAAAGTGAGGTTCTGCAGAGAAAAAAGAAGGTGTACCACTTAGCACCAGACTTGAAATGCAGGCCCAACATATGTGTGGCGAATCCTTCTTGCGCCATGATATTATGCTGGTTGACCCAAAAAAATATTTTTGCCACACTTTTGCAGCTTTGACTTTTGCAAAATTGATTATTTGTGGATTTAATATGTGTTGGAAAAAGCAGCCTTCCAAACCTTCACTATTTATTCATTAATGCATGTATTTGCTAAGCTGTATTATAGATATACTAGCCGTCCCCTGCCATGCGCTGCTGTGACCCACATGGGGGTTCTGTGTGGGAGGTTTGGCCCAATTCTATCGTTGGTGGGGTTCAGAATGCTCTGTGATTGTAGGTGAACTATAAATCCCAGAAACTACAACTCCCAAATGTCAAGATTCTATTTCCCCCAAACTCCACCAGTGTTCACATTTGGGCATATTGAGTATTCGTGTAGAGTTTGGTCCAGATCCATCTCTGGATGTAGGTGAACTACAACTCCAAAACCAAAGGACACTGCCCACATTTCTCTAGGAATGTAGGTCATCCAGTGCGATTCTATGGTGAACCTCTGGAGGAAGTTAGCCACAGAGTCACACTGGAGCACCTAGAAATTCAGAGTGAAAAAAGTGTTTCTTCTTAGCGCCCCCCCCCCCCCCATTATTACACAGGCTATGTGTCTGTAAGGATATTATGCTGGAATCCACTTCCTCATCCACTCCATGAGGACTTTCCCTGTTCTTTAGCTGTCAAGGATTTCACCAAAACGAAACATACGTGCAGAAACACAATGATCCCAGGGTTTACTTCCTCCCTTTCCTTGGCACTGGGCCCATGTATTTGTGGCGAATCAGATAAGAGACTTGGACTTTCCAGCCTGGTTTTGAAATCAGAGAAAAATGGCTAGTGGGAAATCAGACCGCTGCCTTTCTCTACCAACTTTTAAATTAACCCTTATCTCTCCTTTCAAGTAGCTTATGCTTATTTTCCCGTGTCCTCCTCTCTCCCAACTCTTTCGGAAAGGCTGCTGAAAAGAGAGGAGGTAAAGACAAGATAAATAAGGACGTCAAAATGGATGCATTTTTGCATTTCTTTAGCTTTCCCTGAATAGGAGAGGGGAAGCTATTAAAATCCCTTAAAAGCAGAGGCTCATACTTTAAGTTAAAAATGATATCGCATTGTTGCCAAGTTCTGCTCATCGGGGTCAGGGTCTTGTAAGAGAATACTTACTTATGGGTCATTTTTATTCCCTATTTAATTTAACAGCCCGATGTTTCCTCAAGCAAAGCAGCTTACACTGTATGTCAAAATAAAACCGCTAATCCAACCTACAGTGCAACATTTTTAAAGCATTATTATTATTATTATTATTATTATTATTATTATTATTATGCTGTCAAAGGCTTTCATGGCTAGAATCACTGGGTTGCTGTGAGTTTTTCCATGCTGTCTGGCCGTGTTCCAGAAGCATTCCCTCCTGACATTTCGCCCACATCTATGGCGGGCATACTCAGAGGTTGTAAGGTCTGTTGGAAACTAAGCAAGGGTGGTTTATATATCTGTGGAATGATGTCCAGGATGGGAGAAAGAAGTCTTGTCTGTTGGAGGCAAATGTTGCAATTGGCCACCTTGATTATTATTTATTTATTATTTATTAACTTTATTTATACCCCGCTAATATCTTCCGAAGGACTCGATGCAGCTTACAAAGGCCAAGGCCACCAACAAAACAACAGTATACAAATACAACAGTAAAACTCATAAAGCAAATAATAGATTACCATTGAATGGCCTTGCAGCTTCAAACCCTGGCTGATTCCTGCCTGGAGGAATCCTTTCTTGGGAGGTGTTAGCTGGCCCTGATTGTTTCCTGTTTGGAATTCCCCTGTTTTCAGAGTGTTGTTCTTTATTTACTGTCCTAATTTTAGAATTTATTAAAATACTGGTAGCCAGATTTTGTTCATTTTCATGGTTTCCTCCTTTCTGTTGAAATTGCCCACGTTGAAACCCACGAGCATGTGGACAATTCCAACAGAAAGGAGGAAACCATGAAAATGAACAAAATCTGGTGACTGGTATTAAAGAACTCCAAAATCAGGACAGTTTCATGCATAATAATCATGATATGTTTTTTATGTTTCGTGCATAATAGCCATGTTCGCTACCGAAGCCCATGAAACCTGATGCTAGAAATGCCCCCCCCCCCCATTCATTTCAGAGGAGTTACAGGTTTACTTGTGTCTCACCATTGAGCCAAGTGGAGAGGTGCTCGGTCTTGACCGAATACTGGGGGCCGAGGTTTCGCAGAATCACAGGTTCGGTGCCCAAAAAATTGTAGAGCGTTGCAGAGTACAACTCTTCCTCTGGAATGGACAAAAGGGGAGCAGTTTGTGATTCAACTACAACAAGGTTTCCATAACACAAATAAAGTTCTTTATACTTCCTTCTTTGCTTCCACGCTTGGATTCTTTCTCATGCAGATGAACAGCTTCACTCTCACTGAGCTTCCTCTCACACCAAACATTCCCACCAGGCCGTCCTCACACTGAGGCCTACTCATACAGAGACCTACTAACACTGGAACCTTCTCATACTGAGGCCCCTCACACCGAAGCCTCTCTCAGACTGATACCTTCCTCCCCGCTACTCTGAGGCTTCTCTAACACTGAGGCATTCTCATACTGAGGCAAACTAGCACTGGAGCCGTCTCATACTAAGGCCTTCTAAAACTGAGGCCTCTCTCAGACTGAGGGCAACTAACACTTACAGGTACACCTGCTTATATTGAACTGCAGCTTTTGCTAAGTCTTGCATCCATTTTTAACATTTTCAGTGCTTGATTCACAATTTTGTAATTTAAAATGTTTGGTTAATTTTTAATATTTCTGACGCTTTCCATCTTTGGAGGTTTTGTTAAACAGAGAACGGACGGCCATCTCTCAGGAGTGTTTTACCTGTGTGGCAGAATGGAGCAGATAGCCCTTCCATCTCTAGGATTCTGGCTTCAACATGTTGCTGTTGTGTGTTGAGTTGCTGTTGTACACTATAGCCTCTTTCAAACTATAAATGATAGTACTTTGATACCACTATAATTACATGGCTGTGCACTGTGGAATCATGGGATTTATAGTTTCATGAAACACAAGAGCTCTGTGGCAAAGGGTTTTTAATGCACGATGAAAGTATATATCCCAGGAATCCTTAGACTAAGAGTAGGCATGGGCAAACTTGGGCCTTCCCTCCAGTTGCTTTGGACTACAACTCCCACAATTCCTAACAGCCTACCAGGGAAGGCCTACGTTTGCCCATGCCTGGGCTAGAGCCATGACATTTAAAGTTGTTCCTTTCCCCACTTCTCTGAGGGGTTTTCACCCACAGTTCATTCCAAGCAGCTCTGTAGGATTCTCTTGCTATGTTTTGGCCCTGATGTTGCTTACCCACAATCAGCCCCGTGTGCCCCTTGGCCGGGTCATAAGGGCATTTCCCCCTTCCATCTTCAAAGGACTGCCTGTCCAAGGAGAAGGTGGTGATGTCCTGAAGGAGGAATCAAAAGAAAGAAAGAAAGAAAAGAGGATGATGGGAATGCAACAGCCATTGCATATAGCGACACTAAGCAGAAGCCCCTCCCAAAAGCACTTCTTGCCATGGAAAGTTCCTCTTGCCATACTCACAATGTAGGCACACTTGGGCTGGAAGGCGTAGGTGCCACACGTGTACATATGGGAGCTGTTGTAAGGCTGCAGCAAACGGATGTAGTTGAAGCAGTCAGTCTGCAGACATGGAAAAGCAGCTGGTTAGGAAGTCTCCAAAAACATTAGTGTTATTTTAGCCCCTTGTTGCACACTTACAGAATTCAGGGAACCTCGGGAGTGCTTTAATAATAATAATAATAATAATAATAATAATAATAAAGCAGCTTTATTTATACCCGGCTCCATCTCCCCCAGGGGGACTTGGTGCGGCTTACATGAGGCCACGCCCATTAATACAATACAAGCTATAACACAAACACAATAAAACAAGCAAAATACATAGAATGCAAAATTGAAATAATATACAACACAACAATATAAAATCAAGCATTAAAAACACGGGAAATTTCACTAGGCAGGGCCAGATGCATGGATAAAATGATAGAAAATATTAAAAACACTGGGAGATAGGGCAAAGTAACTTATAAGGAGGAGGCTCCAGGAATGAGGAAAGATTTCATTGCACAACCCATAAAGTAAAGTGCGTCTAAGGACATTTTGTGCAAAGAGTGGTCAGGTAGAATCTTTCAATCACTGAAGGCACATTGGAATAACCAGGTTTTCAAATTCCTCCTGAAGATTGCCAGTGTGGGGGCTTGTCTAATGTCTTTGGGAAGTGAGTTCCAGAGCCGGGGGTCCACTGCAGGGAAGGCCCTCTCTCTCGTCCCTGCAAGTCACACTTGCGATGCGGGTGGGAGCGAAAGAAGGGCCTCTCCGGAAGATCGAAGAGATAGTGTGGGTTCGTTTGTGGAAATACAGTCGCGCAGGTAGGAGGGTCCCAAACCGTTCAGGGCTTTGTAGGTCAAGACCTGCACCTTGAATTGGGCCCGGTAGATAAATGGCAGCCAGTGGAGCTCCTTAAACAGGAGGGTTGACCGCTCTCTGTAATTCGCTCCAGTTAATAGTCTGGCTGCCGCCCATTGGACCAGTTGGAGTTTCTGGGCCGTCTTCAAGGGCAGCCCCACGTAGAGAGCATTGCAATAGTCCAATCTAGAGGTAACTAAGGCGTGGACCACCGTGGCCAAATCCGACTTCACGAGGTATTGTCGCAGCTGGCACACAAGCTTCAATTGTGCAAATGCCCTCCCAGTCACCACCAACGCCTGAGCTTCAAGCGTCAGCGTCGAATCTAGGAGGACACCTAAGCTGCGGACCTGCGATTTCAGGGGTGGTGCAACCCCGTCCAGCACAGGTTGCCACCCTATACCTCGATCCGGCCTACGATTGACCAGGATTAAAACTAGGTTTCTAGTCCTCATGGCTGCTAAAACTGAGCCAGAATACTGTTGGTATGTTATTCTAGCATTCACATGTTCTGCAAGATTGCACCAGGTGAGATGATGATGATGATGATGAACTTCCATCAGTGCTTAAAAGTTTATCTTGTTCGGCAAGTTTGCCCTAGATGCACGAGATGCATCACTGCTGGGGCTGAGTCCCCTCAAACCCCCCAGGGATCCTGACCTCCAGCTTGAGAAACATTGTTTTATGGGTTTCCAGACATTTTACTGATTTAAGTAAGTAGATGAAATCTGTAAATATTTCCATTGGAGAAAAAAAAAACACCCAAGGAATTCTATGCAAACAGTGTGTGATTTGTGTTTAGATAAAAAATACATGAGCTTTTTAAAAAAACACATCTCCAGTTCACTCATTCATGCACAAACGGGAAGCGCCAATTGTAAAGTAATGTGGGGTGTGGGAGTGGGGAGGGTTGGAAACATATCTGAAATGTAATTTGAATAAAAAAGCTGCCTAATTAACTGTGGGCAGCCATAATGTTGCTCGAAATAAATATGCTCAGCGTTGGAGCCCTAGTAACAATTACTGGGGAGTCAATGGCTGCTGTAGGAAGAAAGGAGGCAGCTGCAAAGGCCACTCCAAACTGGGAGATGATGGTCTGCAACCTGTTTATAATTATGCAAATGTCACTCGGGGGACTCTGCGAAAGAATGCATTCCAGAACCTCCTTATGGATGGTTACCACTTTGGGTTATCAATACAGATGGGGGACATCTTCGGCTCTCTGGCTAACTTTGAGCATTGTGTGAGGAAGATGCAGCCTTATGCTGGAGGCAGGTTGGAAAAGTCCGGGGTGCATCTACACTGTTGAATTAATAGAGGCTGCAGTGGCGTAATGGGTTAATCCGTTGAGCTGCTGAACTTGCCGACCTGAATGTTGGCAGTTTGAATCCACGGGATAGGGTGAGCTCCCGCTGTTAGGCCAAACTCCTGCCAACCTAGCAGTTTGAAAACACACAAATGTGAGTAGATCAATAGGTACTGCCTCGGCAGCAAGGCAAACGGCTCCAAGGAGTCAAGCGAGCCACATGACTAGGAGGTGCCTACGGACAACTTGGGCTCATTGACTTGGAAATTGAGATAAACACCTCCCCTAGAGCCAGAGCGGAGCACCGCCTCTAGAGGCTGGAGTGAAAGGGGAAGGCTTTGCCTTTGTCTTTGAATTTCTGTTTCACTGTATCAAAGAATTGAATGTTTGCCTGTGTTTGTGTTTGTATATCCGCTCTGAGTTCCCTCAGGTGGAATTTGCAGTGTTGTGTAAGTTTTTCAATTGCTTCTCATCAATTCTGCTGTCACCTGCGATTGCAACATCAACAATCCATACTCTTAATTATTGTTGTTGTTGCACTTTGGCACCACTTTAGCAACCATGGCTCAATGCTATGGGATCCTAGGTGTTGCAGTTTGGATAAGCACCAGCACTCTTTGGTATAGAAGGGTAACCACCTTGCAAAACTACAAGTCTAATGATTCCATGGCAGTTCAAATGGTGCCAAGGAGAGGAGCACAGAGGTGTGCATGTTAAAGACGGATGCCCCACTGTTGTTGTGACGCAGGATCGCAGCTGTTGAGCTCCGGGGCCCATCTGAGCCTCCTGCTGTGCCAACATGGAGCGGCTCAGGGCTCAATGGGCAGCCACGGCTGTCAGAGCGGTTTGCAGGAAGAGATGAAAGGCAAAGGGAGCAGAGGGAAGCTCTAACAGAATGCCAAACTGGGAGAACTGAGCAGCCCCTCTTGGATTCTGCCTGCCACCTGGAACAGTGGTCAGAAGCAGTGATGTGGTGACAAAGAGGAGGGGGATGAAATTTCCCTCCATTCCCCACATTTCCAGTATTGCAAAGAATATGAGACACCAAAAAATTTGTTCTGCAGAGTTCACATTCCCTGGATCGCTGTTCGTGTGTACATGCTTTCAAGTTTCCTGTCAACTTGTGACAACTCCATCTGTTTCAGAGGGTTTTGACAGTCAAGGTATATATACTCAGAATAGGGTTTACACATTCCAGCCTACCCCCTTTTCTTTGGATACCTAGACTACATTACTTAACACTCAACTGAAGTGTTAAGTTACTAAAATACCAGGCCTTAAGAAAACAGTGCGGAGGGGGTAACCACACCCAAGGAGAGATCCTTACGATATTAAACCCTCCCTCAAGGGCTTTTGACCACATCCTCAAATTTCTTGGGACAGACTTTCAACCTGTTTTCTAGCACAGCAAGAAATACAAGCTCCTTCTCCTTGCTGCTACAAGTTGTGTCTCCCTTATCCAAAACACTTAGGAGCAGAGGTGGAATTCCTGTTATTTACATATATGTACATAATGAGAGATTTCACATAGAAGATGGCTTTGAAAGGCAACGGATCACAGGAGTTGTCTTCATAGACCTGTCAACGGCTTATGATACTGTCAGCCACCGCCTCCTCCTGAGAAAAATGTATAATATCACAAAGGATTACAACCTCAACCGCTTCATACGAAACCTGCTACAAAACAGGAGCTTTTTTGTTGAGTTCCAGGGCCAGAGAAGCAGATGGCGGAAACAGAAGAACGGCCTGCCTCAGGGGAGCGTGCTTGCTCCATCCATGTTCAACATTTACACAAATGACCAGCCACTGCCAGAAGGGATAGAGAGTTTCATCTATGCAGATGATCGTGCCATTACCGCCCAAGCAGGGAGCTTTGAGATGGTCAAACAGAAGCTCTCCGAAGCTCTAAGTGCTCTTACTGCCTATTACAGGGAAAACCAGCTGATTCCTAATCCATCTAAAACACAGATATGTGCTTTTCACCTTAAGAACAGACAAGCATCCCGAGCTCTGAGGATTACCTGGGAAGGAATCCCACTGGAGCATTGCAGCGCACCCAAATACCTGGGAGTCACTCTGGACCGTGCTCTGACCTACAAGAAGCACTGCCTGAATATCAAGCAAAAAGTGGGTGCTAGAAATAATATCATAAGAAAGCTGACTGGCACAACCTGGGGATCACAACCAGACACAGTGAAGACATCTGCCCTTGCGCTATGCTACTCTGCTGCTGAGTATGCATGCCCAGTGTGGAACACATCTCACCACGCTAAAACAGTGGATGTGGCTCTTAATGAGACATGCCGCATTATCACGGGGTGTCTGCTCCCTACACCACTGGAGAAATTACACTGCTTAGCCGGTATTGCACCACCTCACATCCGCCGGGAAGTAGCAGCCAATAGTGAAAGGACCAAGGCAGAGACATCTCCAGCTCATCCCCTGTTTGGGTATCAGCCAGCACGTCAACGACTTAAATCAAGAAATAGTTTTCTAAGATCTACAGAGACACTCGTTGGAACACCTCAGCAAGCGAGAGTCCAAAAGTGGCAGGCTCAAACCCAGAACCTCAATCAATGGCTGATACCAAATGAGAGACTCCCCCCTGGGCACACAGAAGACTGGGCGACTTGGAAGGCGCTGAACAGACTGCGCTCTGGCACCACGAGATGCAGAGCCAACTTTAAGAAATGGGGCTACAAAGTGGAATCACGACATGCGAGTGTGGAGAAGAGCAAACCACAGACCACCTGCTGCAATGCAACCTGAGCCCTGCTACATGCACAATGGAGGACCTCCTTGTGGCAACACTAGAGGCACTCCAAGTGGCCAGAAACTGGTCAAAGGACATTTAATCAACTACCAAGCTTGCAATCAACTACCAAGCTCAGATCACGAACTTCTTATTGCACAATTTAGAATAAAACTAAAGAGATCAGGGAAAATACACAGACCAGTTAGATATGATCTCACTAACATTCCTAGAGAATATACAGTGGAAGTGAAGAACAGATTTGAAGGACTAGATTTAGTAAACAGAGTCCCAGAAGAACTATGGACAGAAGTCCGAGACATTGTTCAGGAGGCGGCAACAAAGTACGTCCCAAAGAAAAAGAAAACCAAGAAGGCAAAATGGTTGTCTGCTGAGACACTGGAAGTAGCACAAGAAAGGAGGAAAGCAAAAGGAAACAGGGATAAGGGGAGATATGCCCAGTTAAATGCGCAATTCCAGAGGTTAGCCAGAAGAGATAAGGAACTATTTTTAAATAAGCAATGCATGGAAGTGGAAGAAGACAACAGAATAGGAAGGACAAGAGACCTCTTCCAGAAAATTAGAAACATTGGAGGTAAATTTCAGGCAAAAAATTGGTATGATAAGAAACAAAGATGGCAGGGACCTAACAGAAGCTGAAGAGATCAAGAGAAGGTGGCGAGACTATACAGAAGATCTGTATAGGAAGGATAATAATATCGAGGATAGTTTTGACGGTGTGGTGAATGAATTAGAACCAGACATCCTGAGGAGTGAGGTTGAATGGGCCTTAAGAAGCATTGCTAACAACAAGGCAGCAGGAGACGACGGGATCCCAGCTGAACTGTTTAAAATCTTAAAAAACGATGCTGTCAAGGTGATGCATGCCATATGCCAGCAAATATGGAAAACACAAGAATGGCCATCAGACTGGAAAAAAATCCACTTATATCCCCATACCAAAAAAGGGAAATGCGAAAGACTGCTCAAATTCCGTACAGTGGCCCTTATTTCTCATGCCAGTAAGGTAATGCTCAAGATCCTGCAAGGAAGACTCCAGCAATACATGGAGCGAGAGTTGCCAGATGTTCAAGCTGGGTTTAGAAAAGGCAGAGGAACGAGAGACCAGATTGCCAATATCCGCTGGATAATGGAGAAAGGGAGGGAGTTTCAGAAAAACATCTACTTCTGCTTCATTGACTATTCTAAAGCCTTTGACTGTGTGGATCATAATAAATTGTGGCAAGTTCTTGGTGGGATGGGCATCCCAAGCCACCTTGTCTCTCTCCTGAGGAATCTGTACAAGGACCAAGTAGCAACAGTCAGAACTGACCACGGAGCAACAGACTGGTTCAAGATTGGGAAAGGCGTACGGCAAGGCTGCATCCTCTCACCCAACCTTTTTAACTTGTATGCAGAACACATCATGCGATGTGCGGGGCTTGATGAATGCAAGGCTGGGGTGGAAATTGCTGGAAGAAACATTAACAACCTCAGATATGCAGATGACACCACTCTGATGGCCGAAAGCGAGGAGGAGCTGAGGAGCCTTCTAATCAAGGTGAAAGAAGAAAGCGCAAAAGCTGGGTTGCAGCTAAACGTCAAAAAAACCAAGATAATGGCAACAAGAATGATTGACAACTGGAAAATAGAAGGAGAAACCGTGGAGGCCGTGACAGACTTTGTATTTCTAGGCGCAAAGATTACTGCAGATGCAGACTGTGGCCAGGAAATCAGAAGACGCTTACTTCTTGGGAGGAGAGCAATGTCCAGTCTCCATAAAATAGTAAAGTGTAGAGACATCAGACTGGCAACAAAGATCCGCCTAGTCAAAGCCATGGTATTCCCTGTAGTAACCTACGGATGTGAGAGCTGGACCTTAGGGAAGGCTGAGCAAAGGAAGATCGATGCTTTTGAACTGTGGTGTTGGAGGAAAGTTCTGAGAGTGCCTTGGACTGCGAGAAGATCCAACCAGTCCATCCTCAGGAAATAAAGCCCGACTGCTCATTGGAGGGAAGGATACTAGAGACAAAGTTGAAGTACTTTGGCCACATCATGAGGAGACAGGAAAGCCTGGAGAAGACAATTATGCTGGGGAAAGTGGAAGGTAAAAGGAAGAGGGGCCGACCAAGGGCAAGATGGATGGATGGATGACATCCTTGAAGTGACTGGACTGACCTTGAAGGAGCTGGGGGTGGTGACGGCTGACAGGGAGCTCTGGCGTTGGCTGGTCCATGAGGTACAAAGAGTCGGAGACGACTGAACGAATGAACAACAACAACCAAGCTTGCAAACTTTGTATTCTGTCTGTTTGTTTGTTTGTTAAAAAATGCAACGCAACTGTTCGTTGCGCTCCTGACACGATAAATAAATAAATAAATAAATGAGAGATTTTGGAGATGGGACTCATGTTTAAAAATGAAATTAATTGGTGTTTTGTAGGCACTGTATATATATACGGAGTTTAAAGGTCATTTAATATTTTTTAAAATAATTTTGTACATAAAACCAAGAGTCCACTTAGGTAGAAAGCATAAAATGCGAAGAGACAGAATGTGGGACGATGCCTGGCTTGACAGCAGGACATGTGAAAAATATCTTGGAAAGTAGATTCCACCTGAACATGTGGAAGAACTTCCTAACTGTGAGAGTTGTTCAGCACCAGAAGTCTTTGCAGTGGTGGAGGCTCCTTCTTTGGAGGCTTTTAAATAGAGGCTGGATGGCCATCTGTCGAGGGTGCTTTGAATGAGATTTTCCTGCTTCTTTGCAGAAAGGGGTTGGACTGGATGGCCCACAAGGTCTCTTCCAACTCTATGATTCATATACACTGAACCATCAGAAAGCAATGGTGACGCTATATCAGCCACCCATGTACACAAGTTTGGAATAGTTTGGATTTCAGAATTCCAGATAAAGAATGCACAACCTGTACACATACTTAGACACAATCCCTGATCAATCAGTGAAGATTTGCTTGGAATTAATCGAGCTTTCCCTGATTTTGAGGATGAGATCACGTATGAGTTAATCCAAAGGGAGCAAAGGACAGCTTGCCCTTTTTATAGCTGGCCTAGAAAGGCATGAACTATTGTTTTTTATGTTTATGGGAAGAAGCACAGAGGCACATTGTGCACATCACATGCTCCTTGCCAAATAACAGAAAATCAAGCCTGTGACTTATCAGCAGAGCCTTGTGCTTGGCTTCACTTCTCAGTTACCCAGGGCTCTGACTCTGAGAGATAGAGGTGAAGATCATGACCGAGGATCCACATCATGCGCAACGTATCAGGGGTTCCAGCGTCCCTTGACTTACCTGGTTACTTTTGCCCTTTTGGATACACTCTGCTTTCTTTTCTGCTGGTGCTTCCCAGAGGATCTGCAAAGAGATATAGTATTAAACTACGTAACAAAAAAATTAAAAAGTGTTATTTCTTGTTTAATTATGCAGTCCCTATTTTGAAAGTACTGTATATACTCGAGTATAAGCCTAGTTTTTCAGACCTTTTTATAGGATGAAAATTTTCCTCTCGGCTTATACTCGAGTCAAGATTATTTATTATTTTACTCTGTTATTATTATTTTTATTACATGTATTATTTTACTCTATTATAACATTTATCATTTTCCTCTATTATTATTACATTATTATTTAACTTTATTAATGTTATTATTACATTTCTTATTTGACTCTATTATTACTGTTATTATTACATTTCCGTTATCTTACCATATTATTATTATTATTATTACATTTATTATGTTACTCTCTTTATTATTATTGGAAGGATACATAAAAACATTGAAGATGCTTAGAATCAGAGTTGGACAGTCTTATCTTAAATTAAAGTGCTATGTAAACATTCAAAAACATTTAACCTTCTGATGCCTAGTTAATATAATTTAATTGGTATCTGTTTTTATTTTGAAATTTACCAGTCACTGCTACATTTTCCACCCTCGGTTTACACTTGAGTCAATATGTTTTCCCAGTTTTTGTGGTAAAATTACCACAAAACCATGTCTCGGTTTATATTCGAGTCAGCTTATACTCGAGTATATATGGTAGTTGTTTTACTCCAGAATTTTTTTGTTGTGGCTTCCACAAACCAGGTTGAATTGGCCAAGACTCTCTAAGGTATTTATTGAAAATCTATAGCAAAATGTGTTGCAGGATATCCCTCCTGCAATAACGAAGTTTTTGAGTTGTTTTTCCATGTTTATTGGTCCGGGCTTTAGCACAGTGGGTTTAAACCACCAGCTATAGAAAATCTTGCCGATTGAAGGGTTGGCCCGGGTTGGGGTGAGCTTCCACCTGCACTCCAAGCTGGAATGTGTCCAGAGGAGGGTGGCTAAAATGATCAAGGGTCTGGAGAACAAGCTCTATGAGGAGCGGCTTAAAGAGCTGGGCATGTTTAGCCTGAAGAAGAGAAGGCTGAGAGGAGATATGATAGCCATGTATAAATATGTGAGAGGAAGTCACAGGGAGGAGGGAGCAAGCTTGTTTTCTGCTTCCCTTGGAGACTAGGACACGGAACAATGGCTTCAAACTACAAGAAAGGAGATTCCATCTGAACATGAGGAAGAACTTCCTGACTGTGAGAGCCGTTCAGCAGTGGAACTCTCTGTCCCGGAGTGTGGTGGAGGCTCCTTCTTTGGAAGCTTTTAAACAGAGGCTGGATGGCCATCTGTCAGGGGTGATTTGAATGCAATATTCCTGCTTCTTGGCAGAGGGTTGGACTGGATGGCCCATGAGGTCTCTTCCAAATCTATGATTCTATGATTCTGCCCACCTAGCAGATCAAAAACAGTAATGTGAGTAGTTAAATAGGTACCCCTTTTAGCGGGAAGGTAATAAAAGGCACCCATAAGAAAATGCCAGTGATTCTATCGGAAGGGTGTCTACAAAGTGCCTCTGCATGGAAGATGGAGCAACAGCACCACCCTGTGGCTGGAGTCAAGTACAGCCTCCTGATGCCAGAGATGGAAAAGATGGGAAAAGCCTATGCCTCTGTTTATGTATTGTCTATCCTTGTTAATTGTATAATGGTATTGAATGTTTGCCGTATATGTGTTCTGTAATCCGCCCTGAGTCCCTTCTGGGAGACTGAGCGGAATATAAATAAAGTATATCACAATTCAACACAATGCGACTATAAGAGAGACACAATGTTACATGATAAGCTCTGTCCAAAGGTGCTTAGGGCGGATTTCAAACCTAAAAGGTAAAACTTTCAAATGCCCAAACAAAATAACAATACACCCATAGTAATGAAATTTGGCAACCCAACACATAAAAAAAAAATTATGACTTAACAACTAAAATTAAATAAAAAACCACAACCTGTATCAGACATAAGACAAAACATCAAACATAGAACATGTCATATGTTCCATAGCTGATGGTGGTTGGTGGTGGTAGACCTAGCAGTTGGTAATGGAAGGGTTAATGTAAGTTTTGGTTCTAAAGGGTTGAGTAGTTTGTAAGTAACAGTTCATGGGTGAAAGCAATTAAGGGTGGAGGTATGCACGCGATGGGTTGCAGCTGGGTGTTTCTGGATATAAGTAGCCTTGGGACTGATCTTTGGGAGAAAAGTATCTGTTTATTTTGGTGGTAGATGGCTGCTGGTTTTCCCCCAGGTCTGTTGGATTTTCGGTATCCTGACCTGTCTCCTGTAATCTTGGAATCCTGGAACCTTGAACCTTTGGACTGGCTTTTGACTACGGTATAGACTCTTTATCCCTGGACTTTGTTTATTGAACTCTCGGCATTTGACCACTGGACTGGACCCTTTTGACTACGAAGTTATTTTTGCTATCAGTTTTTGTTTATTTGTAGCTGTGTGCTATCTTTGTGTTTTATATTTTGGACTATAAAAACAGCCAGAAAGTAAGTGCTGTTTTAATTAAACTGTTTGTTAAAACTGGGAGTTTGATTAATCTCTACCTAAATAAGGTAGAGCCTGGCAACGTGACAGAACAGAAGCATCAATTTCAGTTCCTTGGGGGCAAGTAGATTGATAATTGCTCAAGATATCTATTGAGCTGGTGGGTAAACAGGGCTTGGATTATTATTATTATTTATTACAGTTATTATTATTATTATTTGATAGAACCAATTAGAAAATAACATTTATAATCCAGGAACAAAAAATCGTGTTACATGGTATCATTCATAACCATCATAAGATCATCACCAGACCATCACATCCAAATGTTTACGGGACCCTTCTCACAAAAGCTCAGTGTGGTTTATGGTGCAATTAAAGAAATAGAAAAGCTGCAGTGTCATGGGATAGCAAACAGTTCTAGCAGACCGTTTGAAATGTGACACAAAAGCGGAGCCATTCGCAGAAGCCCAAAATTTAAAAGATAACAAGAAAAGTATTTCCTTCGAGATCAGCAAAGTGCAGCCTGAAACTTTGTGTGACCCCAAAGTGCAGCTCTTGAGGCCTCCCCAAAGACTATTAATGAAAATGTCAGATGATTTTTCATCACCCGCAACCGCTCAAAACCATGACAAAATGCAGTGGTTTCTGCTCGCACAAACACTCCCAAAGAGGCCCGAGATCAATTTTAATCATTGCATCAGGCATGTTATTATGTCCCATTTGGAAGGTTACAGGGATGAAAACGAACCCCCGCGGTTGTCCACCCCAATAGACCTCATCAGTGTTAGGGAAAACTACCCTAAAATATATAGCAGAGAATCCAAAAACAAACAGGATACCAAAGTTGAGCATCAGCTCATTAGTGAGCAGAGCGCGAAGAGCCGTGTGATATGGCTGCAAAGAATTCAGAGCTTAGGAGGCAAATATGCAGAGTCCAATCTTAAAATCACTAAAGGTTTATTTACAGTAATAGGAAAAAACTGCATTTCTTAATCATCAAGACCTGGGCCTGAGCTACTCTAACACCCATCTCTTCTATGGTTTCAAGAGATGGAAAAGCACCAAACACTACATCTCTCCTGACACACAAGCAGAGAGAGATCTCAAAGCACACAGCACATACTCTCCATACTAAAGTGTAAGAAGGCAGAAGTCAGATTCAAAATGCTGGCAGTAGAAAAGTGACCATTGTAAACAACCAAATCAGAATGAGAGCAAAAACACAGAGGAGAGAAGAAATTAGATACAATCCCAATTGTCATTCAGGAGACATGGAGGAAGGGAAACCCTCAAGACTATTCTAAGCTGAGTAACTGTTCCTCATTGAGGACTTGAGACTTGGGCAGTGTGGGATTGAATTGTAATCTATTTCTCATAAAAACCCAAGGCCATACAGTTCCATAAATCCCAGTCTTGTTAGTGCCTTCACTGTAAAAAACATTTCTACAATAACTTCTAATTTTGTTTATTGTCAGGAGTGAATTGAGAAACTACAAATTGTTTCTGGTAGGAGAGAATTGGCCGTCTCCAAGGACGTTGCCCAGGGGACAGTCGGATGTTTTCATGTTTTACCATCCTTGTGAGTGGCTTCCCTCGTATCCCCGTATGGGGAGCTGGAGCTGACAGAGGGAGCTCAACCCTATCTCCCCGGATTTGAACTGCCAACCTGTTGGTCAGCAGTCCTGCTGGCACAAGGGTTTAACCCATTGTGTTGCACAGTGATGGCATTGAATCAACTTTCCTTTATTTATTTACTGTACTTATACCCCGCTCTTCTCAACCCCAAAGGGGACTCAGAGTGTCTTACAGATTATGGCAACATTCAATGCCGCATCAAACAACAAATAATAAACATAACATATCAAATTATAAAACAATTAGCCGTCTCCTGCCACATGTTGTGGCTCACTCTGGTGGTTCTGTGTGGGAAGTTTGGCCCAATTCTATTGTTGGTGGGGTTCACAATGCTCTATGATTGTAGGTGAACTACAAATCCCAGCAACTACAACTCCCAAATGTCAAGATTCTATATTCCCCAAACTCCACCAGTGTTCACATTTGGGCATATTGAGTATTCGTGTAGAGTTTGGTCCAGATCCATCATTGTTTGAGTCCACAGTGATCTCTGGATGTAGGGCACTGCCCACTGAACCCTTCCAGTATTTTCTGTTGGTCATGGGAGAACTGTGTGCCAAGTTTGGTTCAATTCCATCGTTGGTGGAGTTCGGAATGCTCTTTGATTGTAGGATTTGATTGTAAATCCCAGCAACTACAACTCCCAAATGACAAAATCAATTTTTTGAGTGAAGGACATACATTGGGTTGTTAGGTGTCTTGTGTCCAAATTTGGTGTCAATTTGTCCAGTGGTTTTTGAGTTCTGTTAATCCCACAAACGAACATTACATTTTTATTTATATAGATTGATGATGATGATTATTATTATTACCATGTCCTGAAGCTCCATGCTGCCAGTGCTGAGGGCAAAGATGGCTTCTCGCGCCCCTACGTACAGTAAGCCATCAGAGTCAGCCAACGTCAGCGTTGTGTAGTTGGATATCCCGACGCTGGAGAAATGCCTTGTGACGTCCTTCAACTCTGCAAGAGAAATGCAGACAATATTAAAAGAGTGAAACAGGGAGCAGAAGGGGAAAGGAGATTTTAATTTTATTCCTTACCTAGCTTGAGTACCTGGGTTATTTGAAAAAGCAGATTTTAAAAATTGTACAAAATGCATAAGGTTGTGGGTGAACTACAATTCACATCATGCCACTAGAAAATCCATCAGTACTTTATGTTATGTTGGGCAAGTTTTCTCTACCTGCATCATTGGTGGGGTTCAGTGTGCTCTCTGGCTGTAAAGCACAGCTCCCACTATGGTGAGTCAATCCCCTCAAACCCATCCAGTAGGTTGAGTTAGTCCTGTGGGTTTTGTGTGCCATGTTTTGTCCAGGTCCATCATCGGTGGGGGTCACAGTTTTTGTGGTTTTAGGTGAACCTCAACTCCCAGAAAGGAAGGTCAGTTCCCTCCAAACCCCTCCTGTAATCAAATTTTGGCATATCAGGTATGTGTGCAAAGTTTGGTCAGGATCCATCGGTGTTGGGTTTACAGTGCTCTCTGGATGTAGGTGAACTAAAACTCCCCCAAATCAGGGTGAATTTTCCTCAAAAGACCTCCAGTATTTTTTTTTTGTTGGTCTTGGGGGCTCTGTGTGCCAAGTTTGGTCCAAGTTCGGTCCAATTCCATCTTTGGTGTTCAGAGTGCTCATTGACTGCAGATGAAATATACATCCTAGTACCTACTACCTCAAAATGTCTAGGCTAATTCCCCACAAAACCCACCAGTATTCCAATTTGGACATATCGGGTACGCATGCCAAGTTTGGTCCAGATCCATCAATGTTTGGGTTCATAGTGAACTCTGGATGTAGGTGAACTATAAATCCCTCCAAAGACTTCCAATATTTGTTGTTGGTCATGGGAGTTCTGTGTGCCAAGTTAGCTACAGGCCCATTGTTGGTGGAGTTCAGAGTGCAGCTCTTATATTGCAGGTGAACTATAAATCCCAGTACCTATAACTCCTATAAATCAAGGTGAATTACCTCCAAACCTCTCTAATATGTTCAGCTGCTGATTAATCCCTCCCTGTTTGCTGTGTGCCATAGAAATAATAGGAAAGGGTTATGAGAAAGGTAGTGGGTGGGATTATGCAAATTTTATACCAATAGAGAGAGTAGGAAACACTGGGATGCTTGTGGTGGAGGAAAAACAGAAAATCTAGGATGAGATTGTCCCTGTATGAAAGCCAGAGGTTGGGCTACATGTTCACTGTCTCCTGAGTGGTGGAAGTTATCGCTGTTTGTGGGGGTGGAAGACTGTCTGTGTAAGTAGGCATCCCAATCACACACATACCGGTACATACACATTTTTGTTTTATTATGTATATAGATTTATACTCCACTTTTCTCTTGGAATGGTACGCAAGGCAAGTACTCAGTTTCACTCCTCTCCTCTAACAGGAGTTCTCAGAATGCAGAACAGCAGGCCAGAGATGCTTGCAAATTATGATACCTTTGCATTGCAACAGGAATCAATTGCTGAAAGGTCCTGTCGCTGAAGATCAATTTTCTCTCCAGCAAAGACTGAGGTTTAAACCGCTCATTTGGCTTCTAGTGATTTTTCCCTCCCTTAAAGCCTTACTGTACTGCAACACCTAGATTTAATTGCAAGTTTTTCTAACATAAAGACTGTCATGTTCCTCCCTCAATCCGCCGTATGTCAATTCAGAATCCCGGTGAACTTCGATCGTGGCAGAGAAGAGGTCTCGGAGATATCAATGGCTTTTCCCCCCCTAGGGAGTTGTGTGAATTGATACACAATTCTGGGCACCACAATTGAAGAGAGATATTGACAAACTGGAATGTGTCCAGAGGAGGGCGACTAAAATGATCAAGGGTCTGGAGAACAAGCCCTATGAGGAGTGGCTTAAAGAGCTGGGCATGTTTAGCCTGAAGAAGAGAAGGCTGAGAGGAGATATGATAGCCATGTATAAATATGTGAGAGGAAGTCACAGGGAGAAGGGAGCGGGCTTGTTTTCTGCTGCCCTGGAGACTAGGACTCAGAACAATGTCTTCAAACGACAAGAAAGGAGATTCCATCTGAACATGAGGAAGAACTTCCTGACTGTGAGAGCCGTTCAGCAGTGGAACTCTCTGCCCCGGAGTGTGGTGGAGGCTCCTTCTTTGGAAGCTTTTAAACAGAGGCTGGATGGCCACTTGTCAGGGGTGCTTTGAATGCAATTTTTCTGCTTCTTGGCAAGGGGTTGGACTGGATGGCCCATGAGGTCTCTTCCAACTCTAAGATTCTATGATACTTCGAGGGCGTTTCTGTCCCCTGAGTCTCTGCAATCTTGAATTTGGAATGTCATTTTGTCTAAAGCAGGAATGGGCAAACTTGGGCCCTCCAGGTGTTTTGGACTTCAACTCCCACAATTCCTAACGGCCTCCCGGCTGAACAAAAACACACAGACCAATGTTACCTCTTCCATAGGGGTCTTTTCTTTGTAGTAAAGCAATATAGTTGTATTATTTACAATAGCAAGGTTTCAATAACACAAATAAACAAATACATAGTAGCTTTATACGCAGCAGCCTTTATACTGGAGCTTTACACATGAGGCTACTCTCATAGCAGGCCTTCTCATATCAGGCCTACCTCACAGAGAAGCGTCTTCACACAAACTGAGGAGTTCCCTCACTGAGGCAAGCTAACAGAGAAGCCTCCTCACACAGACTGAGGAGTTCACTCACTGAGGCAAGCTAATGGAGAAGCCTCCTCACACAGACTGAAGAGTTCCCTCACTGAGGCGAGCTAACAGAGAAGCCTCCTCACAGACTGAGGAGTTCCTTCACTGAGGCAAGCTAATAGAGAAGCCTCCTCACACAGACTGAGGAGTTCCCTCACTGAAGCAAGCTTATAGAGAAGCCTCCTCACAGACTGAGGAGTTCCCTCGCTGAGGCAAGCTAATAGAGAAGCCTCCTCAAACAGACTGAGGAGTTCCCTCACTGAGGCGAGCTAATAAGAGAAGCCTCCTCACAGACTGAGGAGTTCCCTCGCTGAGGCAAGCTAATAGAGAAGGCTCCTCACAGACTGAGGCAAGCTTATAGAGAAGCCTCCTCACAGACTGAGGAGTTCCCTCACCGAGGCAAGCTAACAGAGAAGCCTCCTTACACAGACTGAGGAGTTCCCTCACTGAGGCAAGCTAACAGAGAAGCCTCCTTACACAGACTTTATGTGCAGCAGCATTTATACTGGAGCTTTACACATGAGGCTTCTCTCATAGCAGGCCTTCTCACCTCAGGCCTTTTCTCATACTGTGTGGCCTACCTCACAGAGAAGCCTCCTCACATGGACTGAGGCATTCTTTCACTGAGGCAAGCGAACACTAACAGTCTTCGGCCTACTCACTCTCCTCAGGGTGACATTAGCTTTGGCCCATTAACTCTAACAGGCTTCGGCCTACTAACTCTTTCGGTGCTTGAGGTGAAGTCCAAAACACCTGGAGGGCCCAAGCTGGCCTATGCCTAGTATAAAACAAAGCCTTTTCGGACTTTCCTGCCCTTCTCACGGGTCTCCAATTCCTGTTTGACCTGAAATACATTAATTTTTCTGGAAGTACAGAACAAGTCAGTACCTATCGATTCAAGACCTGGCAGGCCAAAATGATTTGTGCTCTTCAAGCCAGAAACTCAAAAATTAAACTTTGTAGGGCATTTATTTCCCTCTTTAAAAATGCATGACTGGCACGAGCGACGGAAGGAAATGTGGCTTTTTCTCTCTGTTCTTCTGAACATCACAAGAGACTCATAATTTAAATGCACAGAGCTCTGCAGGGGAGGTGGTTTCCACACAGAAACATCACAGCCCCCTTCTATAAAAATAAGCAACGACACTCCAGTTTTTAAAAGACAGTCGGAGGGGGAATACAATGCAACTATATCAAAGGGACCGCCTGGAAGGAAATCAGTGAAGGCAAGCAAAAGCCGGGAACAGGCAGGAGACAAGATGATGGACTGCCTTTCATTATATCCAGAGACACACAAGCTGCACCGTAAATATGAATGCCATGTGAACCAAATATGGGATCTTATGGTTATTCGACTGTAAGGAATCATGTAAAGATGGAGTCTCCCTTATCTGAAATGCTTAGAACAAAAAGCATTTTGGATTTCAGATTTTTTGGACCTATGTTTGCAGATGGGACCCAATTCTAAACACAACATTCATTTAATAAATAATAATATGTTCAGACAGCGTACCTGTCCAAACGTATCTCCTTCTATGTCCCATCTCGGAGCTTAAGATCGTCTGGGGAGGCCCTGCTCTCGGCCCCGCCTTTATCACAAGTAAGGCTGGTGGGGACGAGGGACAGGGCCTTCTCAGTGGTGGTCCCTTGCCTGTGGAATTCACTCCCCGGGGAAATTAGGTCATCAACATCCCTCCTCTCCTTCAGAAGGAAGCTGAAAACATGGATATGGGACCAGGCCTTTGGGTAATCTGGCAGACTGACAAGGTAATGACGACCAGAGTTTGGAAAGGATTATGGTAATACTGAATGGACTTACGGATTTTAAAACTCGGTGAACGCTGGCCATTAGATTGGTTTTTTAATTGATATTGTATTAATTGAATGTCTTAACTTTTGTGGTTATTGCTGTTATGTATTTTAGTGTTGAATTGTATTTTTATCGTTGAACTGTGGTATCGAATTGTGCCGGTTGTAAGCCGCCCTGAGTCCCCCCTAGGGGGTTGAGAAGGGCGGGTAGAAGTACCCGAAATAAATAATAAATAAAATAAATAAATAATAAAACTTTATTTATACCCCGCCACCATCTCCCCAAAGGACTTGGAGTGGCTTACATGAGGCCAAGCCCAACTACACATCACAACAGAAAAGCAATAACAACAATACAAAGCAATACAAAATAATATAAATCACATATAACAATAACACACAGGATAGCCAGGCCAGATGTAATGATTTAAAATTTAAAAAATAATGCTGGGTATGACAAGATAGGATATATCTTGTAGGAGGT